ATGCTAAGATCGGTAAATGGATTCGAGCCGCGAAAGTTTGCATTAGGGTTTTATTCGCCAGTGAGAAGAGACTTTGCCAGCAAATCTTCGAGGATTTAGGAACAGCGGCCGATGATGCGTGTTTCATGGAAACGGTTAAAGGACCGGCGATCCAGCTCTTTAATTTCGCTGAAGCTATCAGTATTAGCCGGAGGTCGCCGGAGAAACTGTTCAAGATCCTGGATTTACACGACGCCTGTATGGATTTATTGCCTGACATCGATGCCGTTTTTTTCTCCAAATCAGCCGAATCAATTAGGGTTCAGGCAACGGAGATACTCTCCCGGCTAGCGGAGGCTGCTAGAGGGATGCTATCGGAGTTCGAAAACGCAGTCCTTCGCGAACCTTCTCGAGTTCCAGTCCCCGGAGGGACGATTCATCCATTAACTAGGTATGTGATGAATTACATAAGCTTAATCTCAGACTACAAACAAACCCTAGGCGAATTAATAGTCTCCAAACCTGCAACCGGCTCCAGATACTCCGACGATTTAACCACTCCAGACATGGATTTCACCGACCACGAAGGTCAATCACCATTAGCACTCCATCTAATCTGGATAATCGTAATTCTGCAATTCAACCTAGAAGGAAAATCCAAACACTACAAAGACAACTCCTTAGCTTTTCTCTTCGTCATGAACAATGTCCATTACATCGTTCAGAAGATCAAAGGTTCACCGGAGCTAAGAGAGATGATCGGAGACAGTTATTTAAAAAAACTCACAGGTAAATTCCGGCAGGCTGCAACTCGATACCAAAGAGCAACATGGGTCGGGGTACTGTATTGCTTAAGAGACGAAGGTCTACACGTGAGTGGAAGCTTCTCATCTGGCGTTTCAAAGAGTGCATTACGAGAGAGATTTAAATCGTTCAACACCATGTTTGAAGAAGTACACAGAATGCAGGCGTTATGGTTAATCCCTGACACACAGCTTCGTGAGGAGTTACAGATTTCAATCTCAGAGAAATTGATTCCAGCTTACAGATCGTTTCTTGGAAGATTCAGGACTCATATTGAGAATGGGAGGCACCCTGAACAGTATATAAAGTACTCTGTTGAAGATCTTGAGACTGCTGTGTTGGATTTCTTCGAAGGGTATGCAGTTTCACAGCATTCGAGAAGAAGATCACAGTGATATTGTAGGACATTATTATTCTTTTATTTTTTGGTGGGGTGTTTCATTGACATTGATTGGTTCAGAAATCAGAATCAGATAAAGGAAAGAAGAAGAAGAAGATGATGAAGCCTCCCGAGGAGTCGAGAACTACTCCTCTGTAAGTGTAAGCATGTTGTTTGTTTTGTTTTGATTATATTTTTCCACTAGTTAAGATTTTGGTTTCATTCGTTTGTATGGAAATTTGTTATACTTCATATGTTCATCTTACATTACATGAAATTGGAGTCTGTCAATGTGGTTTTTTTTTTTTTTTTTTTTTTTCAATCAAGTCATGTATATAAAATGACTGAATCGGTAAAGATGTACTAATATGTCTCTATAACACCACTTTGAGATTTATCTTGATCATAAAGATGAGCCTGGCTGGTCAAAGTTGGGTTTTATACATGTTTGACCATTCTCATTCTGTCTTGGCTTGACCATGACTTTTGCATATTATGTAGTTTTCCTGTTAATTGTTATCATTCGGATGATTGTTAAGAGGAATGTGGTTTCGACTAAATTCCCCAATTTTCTTGGTGGGGATAGGTTTGACTAAATCTATTTTGAATGTATTCATAGATGGAGGCTGAAGAAGTTTTGGAAGAAAACCAGTCAACAAGCAAATATTATTTTTCATTCGAAACTTGGCTTTATTTTAATTTGCAATTTAATTAGTTTTTTTCCTTGTGTGAATCTAAATATTTTGTAGGTGTTAATTTTGATCCATTTGTTTATAATGAGTCGTTTTTTAATCCCAAACGATTCAAATTGATAAAAACTTGGAATAGGTCGACATGGACTGAAAACTCTCACAAATGTGTTTATAGTTAGTTATACTTAAAACATTAATTCTAATATAGGATTTAAACAAATGTTATTCGCTTAAATGACATCGGATCCTCTTCCACACCATCGATTTCCATTGGATCCCATGTTACTTGAATGATATGCACAAAGACCGACAACAAACATCATAGCCGTATATGGATACATCTAACAAACAATATATTTTTTTGAACTGCGGAGATAAAATAACATAAAAGTAATCGTAGGAGAAATACACCAATTGAACCATGTTTATCTTAACATGTTAAAACTAGCCCTATGTTTTATCTAACCAAAAGACAAAAGGTGCACATTATCCGTTATTCTCATTGAGATGCATTTTCTTTTCTTGAAAATAATAAGATTGTTTCTAGATTTCCATAAACACAACACCACCGAGTAAGAACACAAGGCCATGAACAACTTGCGTTTTCTTTTGTCCTCCTTTAAACATATTTACCCTTCAACTCATTTAACGAATCCAACTCTTTCCCCCTTCTAGGATGTCGATTCCAACCCCAAGTAATATCCATACTCCTACTAGACCCAATGTTGGACAATCTATCAATAATTCTACGGTTCTTGCTGGATTCAATACGATAAAGCTACACATCTTTGAGAATTAAATCCTCGAGCCATCTATCATTCCAGAAAAAGGTATCATTTCCCAACTCTAACATTCTCAACATAAAAGAATCCAAGCTTACATTCCACTCATGCAAATCGATTTTGACCTTGGCAACAGAGTACCAAACACTAGGAATAGTAGCCTTAGCAATAGGCTTACCATCGATACCATTTATCTTATGTCATGCTTTAATGCACATCGACCAAGGGCTCTTTCTCTCTGTTTTGACTTTCCACACCCACTTAGCTAGAAGAGCCACATTCATCCTCTAAGACACCCCACACCTAATCCCTTTTTTTCTTTAGGCAAAACAACGGTCTTCCATGAAATCAAATTGATTTTTCTGTTGTCGTCTTTACCGCTCCATAAAAACTTTCTCCTAATTTTTTTCCAAACAATCAATGACTTTCTCAGGAGCCTTGAAAAGCAAGATAAAATAAAGAGGAAGAGTACTCAACACCGACTTAACAAGTGTGAGTCATCCACCAAACGACAAGTTATTAGCCTTCCAAGAAGATAGCCTCGTTTTAAATTTATCCACGATAGAACTCCAATGCTTGGCAAGCTTCATATTTGCACCAATAGGAAGCCTAAGGTAGGTGAAGGGAAACCTACGTGCCTCACAACTCAAAATACTAGCTAAATTCTCAACTTCAAGATCATCAACCCCCACTTCAAACGCCTTACTTTTATTTAAATTAACTTTCAACTCAGACGCCATGAAGAAGCGCCTTAAGAGTATTGAGGTAAATAAGATTCATCTCAGACCATTCGCCAATAAACATCACATCATCCGCTTAGATAAGGTGAAATGGGAAATTATCACTCTTAGGAAGAATAATACCTTGGAAGAGATGATGATCTCAAGCCTCCCTCATTGTAATACTAAGAGCTTCCATGGCGAGTATGAAAAGAAAAGAAGCTAAAGGGTCTCCTTTCCTAACTCCACGTCTAATAACAAATTCCTTAGTAACAAAACCATTCATGAGGACCGAAGCTCTACCATTCACGGGGACCGAAGCTCTACCATTCTCAAGACATCCTTTGATACATCTTATCCACTTCTGCTAAACCCCATTTGATCCAAAACCAGATCCAGGAAACCCCAATTAAGAGAGTCAAAAACCTTGTCAAAATACTTTAAAAATGGAAACTTTTTTCTTATTTTTCTTCGACCAGGTAACCAATTCATTAATAATTAAAGGCCCATCAAGAATACTTCTACCTTCAATATATGCTGATTGCTCAATCCCCACAAGTTTATTCATCACATTTTTTAAACGTAAAGAGAGAAGTTTAGACACGATCTTATGCATACACCCAATCAAGTTGACCGGCCTATAATCTTTCAGAAATAAAGGATCCTTCACCTTCGGAGTGAGCGAAAAAAAAGACACATTGCATCCTAGACTAAAGTTTCATGTCACTTCAAAGTCTTTGACGAAAGCATCATCTTTAATTGTCCCTCAAAACTTGATTTGATTGTCCACCACATAATTTTCTTAACACCTAACTAATGAACCCGATATTGGTTATACACACATGTAAATTTCAGGTGCGATTATTGTTAATATCCGTTGGCATATAATCTTAAACGCTAATTATATTCTTGCACATCCATCAACTACAAAAAAGTACTTTTAATACTATTATTTTGTAAATTCGTGACTAGTTCAAATATATAGGAAGATAAAGATGATAGAGTAGTAGATTGAGAGAGAAAACCGGATATAAAAAACCTTAAATGCTATTCTTCTATTTATTAAGAATATTTGATCAGCTAAACAACCACGGTATAAAATTAAAGATACTGTGAACCAATTTGTATAGTGAAAGGAATAATTTAGATTTAACAAATGTCTGTTAAAAAAAAAAACAATGACGATATTGTTATTAAAATTACCAACAACAATATTCAAACTACAAACAATAATATTAGAAAATGACAATTACTAATTTAATAAGAAGAGGTGGAAGAAGAGATGGCGTCATCTAATATATCCACATAGTTGATGGGGAGGAGCTCATGGTATGGCTATAGGAAACTATGGTTTGAGCGGGTGGTGTGATACATAAAGGTAAACCATATGGATTACAAATTTACAATGTAGGCAAATGAGATCCGTATAGGTAATGCGACATTCATTTTTGTAACAATGATTTTTTTTTCTTTTCAAAATCTTCTCAGCCTCTTTTAGGGTCACGGTTGGAATAGGGAAAACGACCATATATAAGCCTTTTGTACGATTCTGTATGGGAAGAAGGTTGAATGAGTCCAATTAAATTGAAATATTAAAGCACGGTAGATGTGACAATTAATAACACGACACGATAAAAATACACGACATGAAACGAAATTTGGATTAAATGAAATTCAAATTCGTGTTCGTGTCAAGTGTAAAAACTAAAAACACGATATCGTGTCGTGTCCTGTTCGTATTCAAAATTCGATAATGAATTGATACGATTTAGCATTTATTTGTTGTGTTTTTCGTGTTAACCGTGTTATGTATGATTAAATATTAATTAAATTAACTAATTGTTATATTATGTTATATTTGAAATGTCGTTTCGTGTTTTTTATTTTTTAATCAGTTCGTTTTCATATTAGTTATAAAAAAAACACAACATCGTATCGTATTGTATTCATGTTACATAAAACATTGCCGTGTCGTGTCAGACAAAAACACAATACGATGACCCGATTTGTCACCCTTCTGCATGGGACGATGGAAGTAATAAAACCTTGCAAACTAAAGTTGTCAAACAGCTATTTTCAAAAAAAGTAATAACGTGAGGTCAGCCACGTGAACTTTGCCATCTTCATGGTCATTTTCTTAAATTTTGGAAAAATATTGGTCTTCTTGAAATATATCACCCCAGTTTATACTCATTTCAGTGAATAACTCTTCAAGAAAAACTATAAAAAATATATAATCTATCCACCTGTTCTGATATGCATTTAGAAGTATCAAAATTAAGTCTTTACCTAACCTATTCAAGTAGTCCATTTAGTCACCTCAATAATGTATCCTAATTAAATAACTAGTTCCTTTTCATGTATTTAATAGCTCTTTTTGTTTGAACCCAGCACAACATTTACGAGAGGTGGGGCTAATTGTCGGTTATAATGGAGAATAAGTAGTTAAGTACAATGAAAGTAAAAGGGTTTTCAGCTTACTAACGGGTTTAGTGGGAAATGATTATAATGTAGATCATTGAAACTTCCATTTTATCTACACGTTTGTTTGTTTTATAATACACAACACATCCCATTTGACAATTTGTGGGTAATTTCTTATGTAAACCCCCTCCTTTTCGGGTATTAAAATTCAAAATCATTTATATATAAAAAAAAGAGTAATAAAATCCTCGTGCAATATACAGTAACTATTAGTAAAAATTCTATAATATTTAGCAAAAGAAATTTAAGAGTTACTTAATAAGCATACAAAGACCCAAAGATACAAGAAAACGCTCTCACCCCACCTCACCTAAACCCATCCATATCATCATAATTACTCAGTTTTATCTTCTTCCAAATCTCCATCTTCACTCTGAAGCGCAGATCTCATTTCACTTACTTCTTTTGTAGCAACAGGAGATGGTTTTATAAGCATCAAACTATCCTCCTTATCAAACTCCTCACTTCCATCATCAGAATACGCATACCTATCCAACAAAAACAAAATATATTAAAAACATTTTAAACACCCGAAACATATTTTATAAAAACGAGTCATATATTTAATTTTTAATTTTTTTTTTACCGCATAGAGTTCTGAGATGGTGCCCAAAGAGCACAAATGACACACAGAAGAGAGAAAGACAGAACATGCCAGAAAGCAGGAATGATCCAAGCATTTTGCCATTGCTCATTGTATATATCAGTCGACTTAAAATAAAGCTGCAACAAACAAAACAAATCCCCACATTTGTCAAAACCTTCACTTTTTCCAGATTAAGTGCTTAACCCATTAAGCCATTTAAGTTACCTCATAGCATATCCACCCTACAGACACAATAACAGCTACAGCCAACGCATTTGTAAATTTCCTGTATATATCTAGTTTCCCCATCATTCTTTTAGCCTGTTACATCATATATAAATTATAACATTAACAACTCAATCAATCCCTACTAAATTATCAAAAAAAAAAAAAAAAAAAAAGAGTATACCTGAAGTTTATTCAGAGTTGAAGAAAGGGAGGTGAAAATCCATAAAACAAAAAAAGCATCCAAAACAGCAACAGGGAGAGACAAAAACAACATGGCTTTTCCTGAAAGATCACTAACAGCACCAACATGTTCCACCAATTCAAGAACTTCAGAAGCAACAAA